ATTTGGACCTAGACTTGTGGCGACCGGGAGACTTGGAACCCCTACTTTCAGATCTCACCAAAGGTCCCTCTACTTCTTCCACAGACTTGGATCTGCGTCTGTCACATTCAGAGGGTTCTGAGATTCTACTTGCATACCACAGTGATAGTTCCTCTCCCTTTTTTTCCATAGACTCAGACTCAAAGTCTTCACCAGATTCAAAGGGTCGGGTTTCAGGACTCAGTAATGGTGCCTGCCCTTCAATTTCTTCCATGGACTCGGACGGCAGTTCAAGGTCTTCACTCGAAGCAAGGGGCCTACTTTCAGAGCTTGATGACAGCACCTGTTCCTCATTTATTTTCACAGCCTCAGACCACAGTTCAAGTTCTTCATCAGACTCCAGGGGCTTGCTTTCAGAGGTCAGAGACAATTCTGGTCCTTCAATTTCTTCCACAGACTGGGACCTCAGTTCAAAGCTTTCACCAGATTCAAGTGGTCTGCTTTCAGGGCACGGGGATGGTGCCTTTCCTTCAATCTCTTCCATGGACTCAGACGGCAGTTCAAGGGATCTGTGTTCAGGGCACAATGATGGCATCTGTTCCTCAGTTTCTCCCATGGGCTCAGACAGCAGTTCAAGGCCTCCCCCAGATTCAAAGGGTCTGCTTTCAGGGCTCAGTAACGGAACATGTTCTGCAATTTCATCCACAGACTCAGGCGGAAGTTCAAGACCTCTGCCATATTCAAGAGGTCTGCTTTCAGGGCTTGGTGACAATACCCGTCTTTCAGTTTTTTCCACAGACTCAGACCTCAGCTCAAGACCCTCACCAGATTCAAGAGCTCTGTTTTCAGGGCTCAGTGATAGTGTCTTTCCTTCAGTTTCTTCCATGGACTTGGATGCCAGTTCAAGGCCTTCACCAGACTCAAAGATTGTGCTTTCAGGACTTGGTGACAGCGCCTGTTCCTCAATTTCTTCCACAGGCTCAGACCTTGGTTCAAGACCTTCCCCAGATTCAAGGGATCTGCTTTCAGGGCTCAGTGACAGAACCTGACCCTCAATCTCTTCCATAGACTCAGGTGGGACTTCAAGAACTTTGCTAGATTCAGCAAATTTGCTTTCAGGACTCAGTGACAGGGCCTGTTCCTCAATTTCTTCCAAGGACTCAGATCTCGGTTCAAGGCCTTCACCAGATTCAAGGGATCTACTTTCAGTACTCAGTGACAATGCCCGTCCTGCAATTTCTTCCACAGACTCAGAAGGCAGCTCAAGACCTCCACTAGGTTCAAGGGGTCTGGTTTCAGGACTCAGTGACAGCACCTGTTCCTCAGTTTCTTCCACAGACTCAGACCTTAGTTCAAGACCTTCACCAGATTCAAGGGATCTACTTTCAGGGCTCAGTGACAATGCCTGTCCTGCAATTTCTTCCACAGACTCAGACAACAATTCAAGGCCTTCACCAGATTCAAAGGGTCTGATTTCAGGAGTCTGTGACAGTGCCTGCTCCTCAGTTTCTTCCACAGACTCAGACCTTGGTTCAAGACCTTCGCCAGATTCAAGGGATCTGCTTTCAGGACTCAGTGACAGCACCTGTCCCTCAATTTCTTCCACTGACTTGGACAGCATCTCAAGACCATCACCAGATCCAAGGGGTCTGCTTTCAGGACCCGGTGACAGTGCCTGCTCCTCAATTTCTTCCAGGGACTCGCACCTTTGTTCAAGACCATCACCAGATTCAAGGGATCTGCTTTCCGGGCTCAGTGACAGAACCTGTCCCTCAATTTCATCCATAGACTCAGATGGCAAGTCAAGGCTTGCGCCAGATTCAAGGGCCCTGCTTTCAGGGCTCAGCGATGGCACCCGTGCCTCAATTTCTTCCATGGGCTCGGACGGCAGGTCAAGGCCTTTCCCAGATTCAAGGTGTCTTCTTTCAGGGCTCAGTGATGGCGCCCGTTCCTTAATTTCTTCCATGGACTCAGATGGCAGAACAAGGCCTTCACTAGATTCAAGGGGTTTGCTTTCAGGGCTCAGTGATGGCACCTGTCCTTCAATTTCTTCCATGGACTCAGACAGCAGTTCAAAGCCTTCACCAGATTCAAGGGGTCGACTTTCAGGGCTCAGGGACGGGACATGTTCCTCAGTTTCTTCTATAGACTCAGATGGCAGCTCAAGGCCTTCACCAGATTCAAGGAGTCTCCTCTCAGGGCTCCAATGTGGCGTGTGTTCCTCAGTTTCTTCCACAGATTTGGACAGCAGCTCAAAACTTTCACAAGAATCAGGGTGCCTGCTTTCAGGGCTTGCTGATGGTCCCTTCTCCTCAATTTCTTCCTCTGATTCACACTGTAGTTCAAGGTCTTTGCCAGATTCAAGGGGTCTCCTTTCAGGGCTCCAATGTGGCATCTGTCCCTCAGTTTCTTCCATGGACTTGGACATTGGTTCAAGGCCTTTACCAGATTCCAGAGGTCTCCTTTCAGAGCTCAGTGACCACCCTAGTTCCTCACTTTGCTCCAAAAGCCTAGATCCAATGGGTTTCCTTCCAGATCTCCATGTCAGTGGCTGTTCCTCAATTTCTTCCATGGACTTGGACCTTGATTCAAGACCTTCACCAGATTCAAGAGGTCTGCTTTCAAAGCACAACGATGGCACCTGTTCCTCAATTTTCTCCACAAACACAGGTCTCAGTTCAATACCTTCACCAGATTCCAGTGGTCTGCTTTCAGAGGTCAGAGGCATCTCCAGTTCCACCGTTTTGTCCACAAACTCAGATGTGGGTTCCAGGCCCTCATGAGATTTCCAGATTCTGCTTTCAGGACTCCGAGACAGCATCTGCCTCTCCATTTTTTCCACAGACTCTGACAGAGGTTCAAGGCCCTCAACAGATTCCCAGGGTCTGATTTCAGAGCTCAATGACAGCACCTGTTCCTCTATTTTTTCCACAAACTCAGACATGGGTTCAAGGCTTTCACTGCTTTCCTTGGGTCTGTTTTCAAGACTCAATGACAGCACCTGCTCTTTAATTTTTTCCACAGACTTGGACCTTATTTCAGGGTCTTCACCAGATTCAGGAGAGCTGCTCTCAGAAGCAAATTCCTGTCCCTCTATTTTTTCAAAAGACATGGATCTTGGTTTGAAGCTTTCACTAGACTCAAGGATTCCAGTCTCAAGGCTCAGGGTAGATGCCTGTACTTCTGTTTTTCCTACAGACTCAGACCTCAGTTCAAGACTTTCACCAGAGTTGAGTCTGCTCTCAGACCTCAGCAAGGGCTCCCCTGCTTCCTGGATTTCCACAGATTTGGACCTCAGCTCAAGGCCTTCAACAGATTCAAGGGCTGTACTCTTAGGGCTGAACCACCGCTCTTGTCCCTCTAATTTTTCCATAGACTCAGATCTGGGTTCAAGGTTTTGATCAGATCCAAGTGGTCCACTTTCAGAGCTCAGTGAAGGCTCCAGTACCTCTTTGCTTTCCAAAGACTGAGACCTCAGCTTGTGACCTTCACCAGATTTCTTCATCAGAGGTCCGCTCTTAGAGCTCAACAAATTCTCCTGTACCTCTATGCTCTCCATAGCTTCAGATGCAAGGTCAAGGCCTTCACTAAATTCAAAGGTTTTCCTCTCCGAGCACAGCAAAGGCTCCCATACCTTTATGATTTGCACAGAGTCAGACTTCAGCTCAAGGTCTTTACCAGATTCAAGAGGCCTGCACTCAGAGGTCAGAGCAGACTGTTGATCCTCCATTTTTCCCACAGACTGAGATCTAGGTTCAAAGCCTTCACCAGATTCAGGGATTCTGCTCTCCGGGGAAAGCTCCTTTTCCTCTATTTTTTCTACAGATTCAGACAGCAGTTTTGGGCCTTCAGCAGATTCAGGAGATCTGTTTTCAGAGCTCAGCAAAAGCTCCCGTTCCTTTATTTTATCCACAGACTTGGAATTCAGTTCAACATCTTCACTGGATTCAAGGGGTCCACTTTCCAAGTTCAGCAAAGCTTCCTGCCTCTCTGTTATTTGAATAGATTTGGATTTGGGTTCATCAGGCACCAGAGACTCAGAGCGTATGATTTCAGACCTTAGGAAAGTCTCCTGTACCTTTGTCTTCTGAACATCACAAGGCACAATCCAAACCTGGTGAGAAGACTTTTCAGACCCCACTAAAGACTCACAACTCTCACTTTTATCACCAGATTTAGATCTAGCTCTCTCAGGTTCAGGAGATTCAGAGAGTTTACTTTCAGGTTTCAGCAAAAGTTCTTGGCTTTCCATTTTTTCAAGTATTTGGGGTACAAGTCTGTCACATTCAGGAAGCTCAGAACATACATTACCAGACCTCAGGGAAGACTCCTCGCTTGCTATTTTTTCAGCAGCACTAGGTCTTGACTTGTGGTGCTCAGGAGGTTCAGAACACCGATTTTCAGAGCTTAGTGAAAGCTCCTGTTTGTCTATTTCTTCAACAGATTTAGATATAGGTCTTTCACATTCAGATGACTTGGGGTGCATGCTTTCAGACTGCACTGAAGGTATCTGGCTCCCTAACTTTGTGATAGATTCAGATCTAGGTCCATTGTGTTCAGAAAACTCGGACGGCACACTTTCAGAGATCAAATGTTGCTGGCCCTCTATTTTTTCAACAGATTCAGAATTAAGTCCTTCACATATAGGAAACTCTGAGTATCTATTTTCAGGTCTCAATAAAGGCTCCGGGATTTCCATTTCTTCAACAGCTACAGAGCTAGGTTCACCACCTGCAGAAGAGTCTAAGAGTTTAGCTTCAGGCATTACCAAAGACTCCTGGTGCGTTATTTTTTCAACAGATTTGGATCTTGACCCTTGACCTTCAGAGTGTTCAGGGCATCTATTTTCATACTCCACTGAAGGTCTTGGGGCCCCTGTTTCTTCAACAGATTTAGATCCTGACTCCTGGACTTCAGAAAGCTCAGAGCATCTATTTTCAGACTCCAATAAAGGTTTTGGGCCCATCACTTCTTCAACAGATTTGGATCCCAATTCCTGGCCTTCAGAAAGCTCAGAGCATCTATCTTCAGACTCCAAAGAAGATTTTGGGGCCCCCATTTCTTCAACAGATTTGGATCCTGACTCTTGGCCTTCAGAAAGCTCAGAACATCTATTTTTGGACTCTACTGAAGACTTCTGGCCTTCAATTTTTTCAACAGATTTAGATCTAGGTTTGTCACATTCAGAAGACTTTGAGCGTCTACTTTCAGATTTCTGTGACGACACTTTGCCCTGCCGCTTGTCAAGAGATTTGGATCTAGATTTGTAATGGGCTGAAGACCTGGATCGTCTACGTTTAGACCTCTGTGAAGGCTCCTTGCCCCCTGTTTTGTCAACAGATCTGGATCTAGATTTATAATGCTCAGAGGACTTGGAGCGTTTACGTTTAGACCGCCGTGAGGATTCCTTCCTCTCTTTTCTTCCCACAGACCTGGATCTAGACTTGTAATGATCATCTGAGGACCTGGAACGTCTGCGTCTCGACCTCTGTGAAGAGTCTCTGCAACCTCTTTTTCCATCAGATCTAGACCTAGATTTGTAACGGTCCGAAGACTTGGAACGTTTATGTTTAGACCGCCGAGAAGACTCCTTTCTATCTCTCTTCCCCAGTGACCTGGACCTAGACTTATAATGATCTGAGGACCTAGAGCGTTTGCGCCTCGACCTCCGTGAAGAGTCTCTACAACCTCTTCTTCCAATAGATCTGGATCTAGATTTAGAGTGATCTGAAGACCTTGAGCGATTGTGCCTATATCTCCAAGGAGAATATCTGTGACCTCTTCTGTCTGCAGACCGAGATCTAGACTTGGAGTGATCCGAGGACCTGGAACGATTGCGTCTGTATCTCCATGGAGAGTCTCTGCGACCTCTTCTATCCACAGACCAGGATCTAGATTTGGAACGATCTGAAGACCTAGAGCGATTGCGCCTATATCTCCATGGAGAGTATCTGCGACCTCTTCTATCCAGAGACCGGGATCTAGACTTGGAGCGATCCGAGGACCTGGAGCGATTGCGCCTGTATCTCCAAGGGGAATCTCTTCGACCTCGTCTTTCAACAGATCTTGATCTAGACTTGTAGCGATCTGAGGACCTGGAACGATTCCATCTGTATCTCCATGGAGAGTCTGCACGAGCTCTTCTTTCAACAGATCTTGACCTAGATTTGTAGCGGTCAGAAGATCTAGAACGTCTGCGTCTGGATCTCCGTAAAGACTCATTACGATCTCTTTTTTCCGCAGACCGGGATCGGGACCCATCATGATCAGAGGACTTGGAGCGTCTGTGTCTTGATCTCCTTGAAGACTCTTTGGGATCCCTTCTTTCAACAGACCGAGATCTGGACTTGCGATGCGATGCAGAATGATTTTTCCGAGAATCTGAGAGGTTCCTGCTCCTAGAACTTGCTCTTTTAGAGGTAACCTGCCTAGAAGTAGAGCGTGACCTTGTCTTTTTTCTCCGCTTTCGTGATCTGGAAAGAGATTTAGATCGACTCTTTTTTGCTTTTTTTGCATCTTGTTTATTTTTATCACTGCTCTTGTGGGTGCTTTTCCCACGTGCTTTGTCGTCTTTTGAAGTGTCATCACCTTTTGCCACAGGCGGTGCCACAGGCCCTGAGACAGCTTCTGAAGTTTTTGCTGCCGCTGGTACCTCAGGCATTGGGGCAGCTTCTGAGGCTTTTGCCACTGCTGGCACTGCAGGTCCAGGCCCTGGGCCTGCTTCTGAGCTTTTTGTCACACCCGGTGCTGCAGGTCCAAGTCCAGGGGCAGCTTCAGAGATTTTTGACACTGCTGGCACCACAGGTGCAGGCCCTGGGCTAGCTTCGGACACTTTTGTCATTGCGAGCGCCACAGGTCGAGGTACTGCAGCAGCTTCTGAGACTTTTACCACTGCTGGCACCACAGGCTGTGGGGCAGTGTCTGAGACTTTTGTCATGGCCAGTGCCACAGGTCGAGGCACAGGGGATGCTTCTGAGACTTTTGCCATTGCCAGTGTTGTAGGCTGTGGAGCAGTGTCTGAGACTTTTGCCAGTTTTGAAGCCACAAGCCCTGAAGCAGCTTCTGAGACTTTTGCCACTGCTGGTGCCACAGGAGTCGGCCCTAGGACTGTTTCTGAGACTTTAGTTGCTGCCAGCATCACAGGCCCTGGCTTTGGGGCAGCTGGTGAGACTCTTGCCACTGCCGGCACTGCAAGCCATGGAGCAGCTGGTGAGACTCTTGCCACTGCCGGCATCACAAGGCCTGGCCCTGGGGCAGCTGGAGAGACTCTTGCCAATGCCAGCATCGAAGGCCCCGGCCCTGGAGCAGCTGGAGAGACTCTTGCCAACGCTGGTACCACAGGTCCCGGCCCTGGGGCAGCTGGAGAGACTCTTGCCAACGCCGGCACTGAAGGCCCCGGCCCTGGGCCAGCTGGCGAGACTCTTGCCAACGCCGGCACTGAAGGCCCCGGCCCTGGGCCAGCTGGCGAGACTCTTGCCAACGCCGGCACCGCAGGCCCCGGCCCAGGAGCAGCTGGCGAGACTCTTGCCAACGCCGGCACCGCAGGCCCCGGCCCAGGAGCAGCTGGCGAGACTCTTGCCAACGCCGGCACCGCAGGCCCCGGCCCCGGGGCAGCTGGCGAGACTCTTGCCAATGCTGGCACCGCAGGCCCTGGGCCAGCTTGCGAGACTCTTGCCACTGCTGGCACCACAGGCCCTGGCGCTGGGGCAGCTTGCGAGACTCTTGCCACTGCCGGCACCACAGGCCCTGGGGCAGCTTGCGAGACTCTTGCCACTGCCGGCACCGCAGGCCCTGGCGCTGGGGCAGCTTGCGAGACTCTTGCCACTGTTGGCACCGCAGGCCCTGGTGCACCTTGCAAGGCTCTTGCCACTGTCGGCGCCGCGGGCCCTAGCCCTGGTGCACCTTGCAAGACTTTTCCCACTGTCGGCGCCGCAGGCCCTAGCCCTGGTGCACCTTGCAAGACTTTTGCCACCGTTGGCGCCGCGGGCCCTAGCCCTTGCAAGACTTTTGCCACTGCTGGCGCTGCGGGCCCTAGCCCTGGTGCACCTTGCAAGACTTTTGCCACTGCCGGCGCCACGGGCCCTGGCACAGCTTGCGAGACTTTTGCCACTGCCGGCACCACAGGTC